GCCGAATATCTCACGGCGCTTCGCGCTTGGTGATGTGAGAGCCTGGTCCGGTGAGAACCCGGCGTGCTCCGTCCCGGCTTTGTAGGGATGCGAGGTCAATGGTCTAACGACTACGCATGCACGACTATGAGTACACCCCACCCCCCGGCGGGCGCGCAAAGGGTAGGGGGGAGTGCAAAAGTAACGTATCCGCGGGCAGGTGTGCGGCGGTCATTTATCACATGTACGGAGTAGATAGGATATAGATGAAGCATCGCATTTTCAAACCTGCACCGTGAAAAACAAGTACTTCTCGGTAAGGAAAGTCAAACATTTTACTCCGTAAACAAAAAATAACCGGCGGGGAAAAGAAGGGACGGATGTTTCGGTGGGTACAAGGAGACCCGCCCGCCGGGAAATTATCGCCTAGATTCCGGTCAGATAAAACGTACGTCGATTTATCTAAGTGGCACACCCATGGTATTGCTGCTGAACTAAATGTGGGTAGATCCATTGTCAACACATCCGCGGTGACCGGGTGTGTCAGCGCCCCACCCTCTAGATCCGAACGTGAAACAAGGACGTGTTCTCTTAGAAAACATGAACATGTTTTGTTGCTATTAATAAAATGTACCTGTGGTTCAGCAACGGCCAAGGCAAGATAAGAAGAAAAAAAAACATGCGCAGATAGCACAGATACACAGATACAATTTCTGTGAGTGACCGGTCGCACGGGTATACTCTTTACTGGGGGTGGCGGCTCCGCGCCCCTTTCACCGTACAATACGTATGGGGTGCCCCTGCCTGGGGTGCACGTAGCGTGGGAAGGCTTGGAAATATCTTGGAAATATCGGAACACACACGGTTAATCTGCTGTCGTACGTATCTACTGCTCCGTTGCTCGTAAAATTATGGATACATTAAGTGGGTGGCCCGATATAGTGCCGGTTTCCGGTATAGTGCCGGTGTTTTCGGCTCGCACACACTGGAATACCAAGTCGTTCTGTACTTTGAATAGTGCCGGTGTCCGGTATAGTGCCGGTGAAATTTCTCTGCACATACCGGCACTATATCGGGCCACCCACTGCTGTACCCCTCAATGTGCTGCATCCACGGTACGTCATAACTGCTCTACAGGAAGCCATGCAGGGAAATGAAGGGGGGGCTGACGACCTTCGATACAAACATACACACACAGCAGTGTGTGTGTTGCCCAAGGATAAAACCGCGAGCGACTTTGTGCCATTGCCTTCAGCATCAGCATCAGCAGCAGCAGCAGCAGCAGCAGCGTCGACTGCGCATAGACACCCTTGACCAACTTTGGTAACCAAGAGAACCGAGGTACCAGCAGAAAACTTGGGGACCGAAATGTAATGCGAACAGAGAGTAAATATGGTAGCCGCAATGGCCCTTAGGGCGTGCGCGCGGATTTGGCAGGCGGGGCAGGTACGGAACTCGAGGCAACTATGCAAAATTTCTAGGACAAATGCACTATTGCTGCAACAACCTGTTCATACACACGCGTAAAGGATATATATCCGACGACGTGAGAGATAAGGTCAGTGGGAAAGGAGCCAGCAGTTGGCAACCAACGGGACAGACGGCCAAAACACGAGAAAAAAACATTCGTGCATTCGTACACGAATAGAATCTAGACTACAAAGACGAAGAAAATATTTCAGCTCACATTTTTTACAACCGACACATTCCACCCGCGCCGGCACCTTTCTTTCCGCCTAAAAGAAAACGCCTCTTCAATTGACCTGATGCAGCTACAGGCAATGACGTCTGCTGAATACAACATACGAGGGGGGTGTTGCCCTACTATACTACTGCTGCTCTCGCTCTCCGACCGGGACTTTTTCTTCTTGCGCGGAGAATAATCATGCCGCCCGCCCGCCGTCACCGGCTTTTTGGATGACGACCCTGTTGCTGCTGCTGCTGCTGCTGCTGCGGCTCATCATTTGTCCTCCAGGGTCCAACTCATCAACATTAGCAGCAGCAGGGCTTATATCTATTTATTGGCTTGTGCTGCTGGTCTACCATCCCAAGCAACAGGAGGAAGGAGAAACGAACGATTCCGCTGCACAGCTCTGTAGTGTACCCGCTGAGCTTGGCAAACACACCGTTGTATGTAGCTGAAGGAGCACTTTGGGGTGTGGGAGAGCGAGTGACTCTTCGTATCACTGACGAAGACAGAAGGCGGAGAAAAGTCGGGAAACCAACCGGATACGCTGTATCTTGATAATAGAAGTGAGCACGCCAGCAAGAAATGCCGGGAAAAAAAAAAGCGAGCCAGCCCAAACTGCTGCTGCTGAGGTGGTGTATGCTGCTGCTGGATACATGGGGGGGTGTGCGCTACTGCTGCAGGATCAGGCATGGAGGAAGAAACGTCGCAACAGGAGCATCAGCAGCAGGACCGGAAACTCGGCATTCCCTCTTCTGTCCATAAACACAACTGCTGCATCTTGCACTGGTGTTGGTGTACGGTGTGGGTGGTTGGTTGACCATGGTAATATTTTTGAGATTTGTGCGGGTGTGGCATCGCATTCTCCCGCATACCACCACAATCATACGCGATACACAACGAGCCACTCGGCCGGGTGGTTAGGCCCCCAATGGGTTGGTTTTCGCGTCGGGAAGATGGCCCTCAACGGTCAACGACACCCCTCTCACTGATCGTGCAACCCGCTTGACTGCTGCTGCATTTCTCCCTCTGCTCTGAAAACAGCAGTTGCTTTTTTATTGATCCTACTTTCGAATATTTCTCTGCATTTTTGTCTCGCAAATTGGGTCCATCCCCTCCACCCTCACCGCGTCCAGTCAGCCCTCTCCGCCTGGACTCTTGGAACCCCGAGATTCGTTTCCGTTTCAAAAACAAGCCTGCTCACTCAGCAGCACCACAAGCTAGCCAAGGCAAGCAGCACGCAGTAGGTGAAATAACCTACAAGCAACCGGCCGGAGTTCGGGTTGTCTTTCGCTCTGTCGGTGTTCTAACTCCTTACCCCGCCTTCAATCAGGCGCACACACCCTCAATAATAAAAACACACACTCATCTCTTTTTGAACAATCTTTTTTGTGCCTACCTCTTCCAAGGACAGCAATCTTGGCAAGCCGGTCCCCGCGGAAGGCCTCCCCGTATGCCGCTCGATCGAACTCTCTCAGGATTCCCTTCACGGTGTTAAGGTCCATGGGGTACACTTGAGGTGGACCCGCCGCCGCCGCCACCGCCGCCGCCGCCGCCCCCCCAAACCCAAGTTTGGCCTCTCGTTGGCGTCGTAGGGGCATCGCCACTCTCCGCATCGCGCGAACGACGAAGGGGCAACAGTGATGTCAGGCGAACCGCCCCTCGTTTGAACACAGCAAGCAGCGTGCGTGCACTCTTTCCCCTCCAACGGGCACCGACACCCGACCGGCTTCTTTCCCCACACCACCGATCGGCGCTCCCGGTCCGACCCTCTCCGCACTCCGTTGGCCCCTCCCTGCCGCTGTGACAGCTTGATGGATGTGTGTGTGCTACAATAGTCTAAACGCAGCCGAGCGGATTCGCGATGGTTGTCGGGCGGAGTGAGGGAGAAGGAAAACTCTGTCGACGACAAAACAGATGTAAGAAAAATAGAAAAGTTCCGACGAAAAAAGAGGGGTGAATTTTGAAAGTGCACCAAAATATGTGGAAAGGTGTGACGTTGTGACTACTACCACACCGTTGGACTTGTTGTGTCAGTTCCTCGGTCCCTCCGTCCATTTCATTCGCTGTCTCCATGATCTCGAGCACCAACAAGTGTCGAGGGCTGCTCTTTTGTCTATTTTAAGGGGTTTTATCTGACTCGCAAAATCAGTGCATGCATCTATTTTCGGGTAAAGAGTCCACTGCCTGCCCGCCGTGAAGATCGCCGACGTGTTGCGAATACAAAACGAAGATGGTGCAGACTACACGTGAGACCACCCTTTGTCGTCCTCGTACTTGCTTGCTCGCGGACGGTAAATGATCAGCAGAAGCGTACGGTGACTGCTGTAGCGCTGTGCAGCTTGATGAGCGGGCAAAGTCTATACTGTACGCATAGAAAAACATTGGTGCAGTGGCCAGCACCCTCGTTGGATTGCCGCAACATGCGTCTGGCTCCGTGAAGTGTGTGGGATTGCTTACAACCGCTGTTGTTGTTTTGTACTTCTTATTTTATTTTTTATTTTCGTGGGTGTGTACGACCGCACATAAAACATACGAAAAACGGCTTCGGTTCGGATATGATATCCGCACAGGAGGGGGAGATATCGCTACATGCCACGTGCGGTGGGCAAAACATGAAAAGATACATGGATCCATAGCGCCTTGGTTACACTTTTACAGTAACTCTTTAGGACTAACCGATGTTGGACGTAGCCAGGCTAGGTTCTGCACGCGAGCAAGGCTAGGTTGCTCACCCAACATCTACCCTAATCCTAACCCTAACCCTCACCCACGGCCAAAGCATGGCCTAGGGACCGCGAACTGGGCGGCACGCGGCTGCGCCGCGGGCTCGGAATGCGGAACGGGGAGAGGGCGCTGGAGAGGAATCGGCCTCACTACACTGACTGGATGTTTCGATATTCTATTTCACCAGCACAAGTTTCGCACCCCGCCCCTCCGCCCCAAGCCCTTCGAACGCCATGACTGCTGGTGTCATCATTACCGAACATTCGTTCACGAGTGGTCGGTTTCCATCCATGGTACCAGCGGCACGAACCCTCAATCAGTAGCCACACGAAAGTCAATGGAGCGTACGGACGCGGCGTGCCCACTGCCAACTATTACCACCGCCTTGCTGCACTTGTGACCATTGTCCAGTCAACCACTTCTCTCTCTCGATCTCTCTCCTCTCTCCGTATGAACTAATCACCATACATGCGGGAAAATTCAAATCCACATTACTTGTGACATGTTATGAACAGAACAGATGGGGGATCACCCCTGCCTCGCACACTTGCTGTTGAGAAGCACGATAACCACGGGCCAGCGGAAGTTAGCCCAGGGGCCATCGGCTTCTCATAACGTGCTCCATCATGTCAGCCCCATGTCGCGCTTCATCCTGGCGAGCTCGGCCTCGACGTCCGGGTCATCGGTACGCCTCCTGCCGCCTGGCGGTCGTCGTCGAGGGGCCGCCGCCTTAGGCGGAGGCGGCGACGACGAGGCGCTTGTCCTCCTCGAACCATCACTGCTACCGCCCGAAGAGGCGGCAGTTCGGCCGCCGGATCCGCCGCCGCCGCTCCCTGCCCGTCGCTGGGAGGAGGAGGACGACGACGACGACGAGGAATAGTTCGACCGATTCGTGTTGCTGCCGTAGCTGGTGCTGGTGCTGCTGCCGCTGTAGCTGGTGCTGCCGCCGCCATAGCTCGTGCTGCTGCTGCCGGTACCGGTGGGCCTTCTTCCACCAACCCCGCTCTCGAGGTCGGCCACTTTTCTCTCCAATCGTCCCAATCGAGCTTTGGCTCTCTGTGTCCGGGGGGGGGGGGGGG